GATTTAAGTTTTTAATTTCATTTTATTCACATTTAGTAGTAATAAAAAAAATGCAACATTTGTTAATGTATGCAATTTTTATAATTACATTTTATTCATAATACATCTAAAATTTTATATAATAAAGTTAAACCTACAAAAATGTTCTAAAAAGTATAAAAAACAATTATTAAAAACATTTTTAATAACATATTTTAAAAATGTACTGTTTTAGGTTGATTTGTTGTAAGCACTTCAATCATTAATCAATAATGCTTTAAAGAGCTATTCTTCTAAAGTGCAATGAACATGAAAAAGTCACCACGACTCGAATTACTTGTTTTAGATTTTGGTAATGTGCATCCGTACAAAACATCAAAATTCAATTAATTTTGTAAGTTTGTGCATGAATTTCCTTTGAGAGAAGAGTAAGAATATTCCCAAGCCCAATAATTTCATCCAAAAATGGTCATGTGCTTGGCCTTGGACCAAACAATCTTTAAGACTGCTTGAAAGTAAGAGTACGTTAATTTCACCAAGTCCACAGAATCACAAATAAATAAAGTGGCAGGTGTCTTTCAATAAGGGTCTTGCTTTCCAGCCTTGTGAAAAATACTTTTGATGTTCACAAATCAACTTTGGACGTTAAAGCAAGATGTTGATAACTCGAGAGCAATAGTCGTGTTCACAACTAAAGATCGAATCAATAACATTGAACCATAAATTTCCAATGACACTAGGACTTTATTGTTACATCTTTTTGCATGAGAACCATGACGAAATTTGCATGCTGTCATGGCAAAAGACCAAGGAGTAAGGAATTATCAAAACGTAAATTAATTTCCATGCAATAAAGTTGTTCTTATGGATCCCATGCCAATTAATTTATTGCTTTTGGACTGGGAAAGTGTCGCAATTACAATCAACATGGGCGGCCCCTGGCTATAATCATAAACGTAATTATATATCTTCTTTTCTTTTGATAACAAAGCCCGAATGTCACAATTGCTTGTCATCTTTTTCTAGTTTTAACCGTCCACTTGTAGCTTTATATTAAATTTGTGCTAAAGAAAAAGGGTTTGGTTCCTTGTTCTTACTTTTCTGCTCATTATTTCTCAATATTTCGATCACCTCCGTATGCATATGTAGGGTTCATCTATAAATTAAAAATAATGGAATTAAGGAGCCGTACCCATTATTAAAGAATGTGTAATGATAAAAGTGTTTTCTGGTGATTGTGGTATGTATAACAATTCAAACAGTCTTTTTCTTTTAATTTATGGATTGATAGGTCAATTTGAATTGATACATGAAGATATTTTGTGCATGACAATATTAGTTGATTTCAAGGTGGTTTTGAGTATTGAACACGTTGATAATGAGAAATGAAAAAGTTAGGCACGTAATAAAGGGGACAGCTTTGCACATCCATCGCTAGTTTGGACGATGATGGAAGATTTGGCCAAAAATAAAAATGTGATGGAAGAAGGTGCCTGCCCGTATTTGTCTTTCATGAATTGTAAGACAAAATATAAAACAAAAAGATTCGAAAATTTTTGTACTAAGGAATATTGATCGAGTCTATATGGCTATGGTCTTCTGTTTTTGGATCCATTTTTTGAGGAATTCTTGTGGCTTGGTTGATTGGAGTGTCTCGATTTTCGGATGCTGGAATCATGTGCTTGATTTCTGTTTGGATACATATGATGGTCTGCTGTTCTTGCTTGTTTTGAATTTGAGGAGCGTTGGTTTGCCGGGGCGTGACGTCCCTTTCGACTGCGATGTCCTGTTGGTATTAGCAAGTTCTTTTTCTGATCCACTTTCAAGCTGGAATTTTGATTTCTTTCTGTGGACTTTGGATTGGCTGAAATGATGGCTTCTTGATTTGTTGCGATGCCTCTTCTTCCTGCTTAGAGACAGAATGCTGGGTGAGGGATGTGTGATGTCTTGCTTCATGAGGATGATACGGTTTTGCTGTTGGATGCCTTTTCCTGGTAGCATGGGAATGGCAAAGAAGATGTGATGTCTTGTTGGGTAAGGTTGATAGAGATGAGTGCAGATCATGGATAGGAGGTGGGTGATTAAGCTTGCAGGGGGACCTTTGTTTTGATGGCTATTAGGAAAGCTCAAGAGGGATGACTGCATTTAGGAGGCTTCAGGGCTAGATTCTTTCCGGTTTTGAGGCCCTGCTTTGTTAGTTTCTACTACTGGAATAGTTCACATCTCTATTTGGGAAAACCATTTTGGTCCTTGTCGCTGTCAGATTTTTGTTCTTCTTTTTTCTTTGATTGAATTACCTTAAACTCAATTTTTGTTTTACGGGCTATCTTTTCTGGGGATGCTGCCAATTTCTCTTTGAGCAGCTTGATTCTTCTGTAATTGTACTGTTCAGGCTCTGTCCAAAGCTAGCTGCGATGCCAAAAGGAGTCTTCTTCCGTTAAAGTTGAAGACTCTTCATGGCAAAGAAACAGAAATAAACCAAGCTCCAACCTCTATTTTCAGCTCGAAAGTTTATGAGACTGAGTCCACGCATTCACATACAACTCTTCAAAGAAGTTCACTATTTCAAAACTTCAAGGAATTATAGAGATGGAATTAGTTTTATTTCAAAGCTTCATGGCGATTGGGAAAGTTATGTCACTTCGGGGTTAGGTAATTTCAAGTTTTGACATTTCAAGTAGATTTCGAGTTTGAATTTGCATAGAATTTTGTTTTTGCTTTGTAAATTGTTTACTAATTTTGCAATATCTTTGTTGCTTAATAAATTTCTTTGGCTTAACAAATAAGAAAACACCAACATGCATACCAACATGCTTCGTCGGAGAGGTTGGCTGGCTTGGCCAGGACTTGGATGGCTTCGGGGGATTCTGTGTTCTGTCTGATGCTTTGAGATTGCAACCATCTCCTTCATCCTCGGACGTGCAGTCTTGTTGCTGGTGGCTTCCTTGTCTGGTTTGGGTCACTGCTCTGTTTTTCGGATGGTTTCGTCGAGGGACCATGTTATGGGTCGTGGAGATGAGCATCGAGCATTGATTTTTGAGTTGTTACCGCTCATGTTCGGATCCTGTTTTGGATGCCATGCTTTGTTTTGAATTTTGTTTAGACATGATTCCTTATTCGTTAGGCTCCACATTTGTTGGGAAGTGGGGTCGTTTTACCGAGCTC